TCATCATCATCATCATCATCATCATCATCATCATCGATTTAGATCCATCTTTCATCCAAATGTCTGCCTATTTCATCTCCATAGCAATCCTGTAACAGAGGGCTGAGAGAAAGTGACTGGCCTGGATCTCCTTGTCAGCTTCTATTGCTGAACATGGATTTGAAGATGGCTCTCCTTAGTTCTAACCTCGTATACCCACCTAGGGCTGGGTCCCAGCTGCATTTTTTGGCTCCTCCAGGTTGCTCTGCAAAGCTCAGTATCAAAAATACCAAATGCCTTAGGGCTATGCAATGCAAAATAATCCATGACTACCCTTCAAAATCTTCAACCTGTGCTCCTCAAACATTTTGCCACTACCTGACTAGTTACATTATTGTGACACTATACATGCCTTCCTGTGGATTGTGGAGCTCAACATACTGTATTAATAAGAAAAAGTCCCTGGGCTGAGAAAGGTTGACCATTTCCATCTAGCCAATGTAGGAATATTAATTCTTAAACATTTGGGGGCACCCATTGTGTCTCCCAGTGTGAGATAAAATCCCCAAATGTACTGTTTTCAAACACACAAGTACTTAAGGTCTAATGATTGTGGAAGATGGTCCCACATTGATCCAACATGAATGATTGGGTCAATTTTAAGTATATTTATGGATTATTATGGACAATATAAATAGAAGGCAAACCTCATTTTTGAAACAAGTCTGTCCATACACTGAGTTCCAGATATTGCACGTGGTGCCAAGGCTACAGAGTTTCACAAGTCACGACAAGAGGGGTATCCACAGGAGTCAAGATGATGACAACAGTGGTGCAATTGAAGCTCCTCCTGTTTGTGTATGTCTGCGCGTGTGTTGTGTGTGTGATGCATTTAAAAAGCAGGTGGAGCTTTAATCTCATTGTCTTGCACATTTTGACTTTTTTTACCATGCTCTGTGAACACCCCTGCACGGCAAGGAACTGACTCAATACACAGCAGTAAAACAAAATCTCAGTGTTTTGTTCATACCTTTCCTTTTAAAAAAAGAAACAAAATATATCCCTTGGTTGTGAAAAGTCACACCAAGACATTTATCAATTAGGAAAGAATTTCCAGAATTTACATCTCCAGTGATAATATTCCCAAAAGATCTGTAAAGAGCCAGTGATGTCATTCCCAAAAGTGTGATACTCAGATCCAGCTTCTCTTTCTCTTACCTACCATCATTTGTTTGTTGTACTGAAAGCCTTTTTATAAAAGCAGAGAGACAAGCTCATTAAATGTATATGAGATAACATTATTGAAATCAATAAACACCTTGTAAATATCTATTACAGTCCTGAGCTCCTGAATTAAAAGTGGTGATGGCCGTGAATTCTACAAGTCCATCATCCACCGTCCAACTGCATTGCAGCAATTTTCTTTCTTTTTTTTTTGGTGCCTTTGAGGCAGTGTTGACTCCTGGTGACAGCCTGGACTAGTCACTACAGTTTTCTTGGCAAGGTTCTTTGGAAGTGGTTTGCCACTGCCTCCTTCCTAGGGCTGAGAGAGTGTGACTGGCCCAGGGTCACCCAGCTGGCTTCGTGCCTAAGGTGGAACTAGAATTCAGGGTCTCCCAGTTTCCAGGCTGGTGCCTTAACCACTACACCAAACTGGGTCTCATTGCAGTGTCAGGTCCCATTAAAAGAAGCTTCAGTTCATCTACCTGGTACTCCCAGAAACTTTGCCCTGAGAAGTACAACATAATTAAAGGGGTTGGATGCTGTTATCTACAGATTCCTAGTATACCTCTGAAGTTTTGAAACAGTATCACAAAGGAACAGAAGTACTCGTACAATGGAAGGTGGTGACAATATTTTTTCTTATTGTCAGCTGTAGTGAGTTCTTTACAACCCCTAACTGAACCATATATATCATAGATCCATATACTTTAAATTCTAGGCTTCTTCCAACCAACTTGGCAGGTTACTTGGTGGGCTTGAGAAGCTAAGATATGTTTGCAAAACTTTGGTTCCTTCCTTACCAGCCCTTAACTCATTATTGCTTACTCAGAAGGAGGCCCCACTAAAAGCAGTGAGATTTGTCTGAGATGTAATCACTTTTGAGGACTGCACTGTCTATGATATAATTACCTCTGATGTGAAAGCAGTAGCTTAGCTTAGAATTATCACAGAAGACCATATTCATATTGTGACCTATTTACTGCATAAAACAATTCAAGCCCATCTAAACTAAACCCTGTGAACTGCTATTTCCTTCTGAACCCGGTCTGTTTATTTTCCTGACATGGATAGAGAATGTGAAGGCAGTCACATTCAGCTCTAGCTGAATGATGTTTTTTGAACATCAAAAGTGGATATCAACTGGAATTAAAATGTGTGCATAGAGGTACACATCCATTTCACTCAGTTCATACATGTAAAGCATTGTGTCTGGAAAGCCCAACCAGTGTTCTTGAACTGGAATTTGGCCTCCAAGCTGCTGGAGTGCTTACAGTGATAAAGATTTTGACTCAAACCCATTACTCTGATTTACTGATAATTTTAAGTTTGCATGAACCTAAAGTATTATTTAATATCTGTGATGGGAGACTTTTTAACACTTATTCAGCTCTCCAGTTCAGGTGGCTTACAGCAGAAGCTAGCAACATTTTGAGATGTCAGGCAATGTAAAATCAAAATAAATGGTAAAAAAAGGTATAACCTCATGAAATTGCCAAATTCCAACTATTTCACCCCAAAGTCTCACTCAATCTCCTCTGAGAATGGTAAAAAGTTATGGAATCTCACAGAAGAATACCAGAATATCTTGAGATGTCACTGTTGTCACCTGAAACCACTAAAAATGTTGATATCCTCATTGAAATATTATGCGATAACACCAGGGTATTTGGGCCATTTTCAATTTGTTTAACTTTTATTTAATGTTGGGCTGCCATCAAAGTTTTTAGCAAAGTATTGACACCACAGATATCTTGTTGCTGACCCCTGGCCTATGCAAATCTTTGAAGGAGCACTTTGCTTTGAAAAAGAATTATGCAAGTTGTTGTTGTTGTTTAGTCGTTAAGTCATGTCCGACTCTTCGTGACCCCATGAACCAT